GATTTAACATCATCACATATCTAAGAGATTACAACAATCAAAATAATATCATCTGATGCATACATTATATCCCTAACATCATATCATTTTTAAGTGGCACCCACATACGCTAAATATCATCATTATCATCCACAATAGAGATGCATGAAACAAGTCTCTCAACACTTCTAATTCTTTCACCGTCATTAATCTCTTAGTCTAACCAAAGGACCAAGTTGCTCGAAATTTCAGATGTTTCAAAAATGCATCTTCGTCGGAGGCTTGGTTTTTTGAAAAAAAAAACATGTTTGTTTCTTTTACTACTCATGTTAGAACAAATGAAAAAAAATGACTTTTAAAATATTAATCGAAAACCAAAATCTCTAAAACCTTTTTTAGTTTTTAAGATTTTTAAATAAAAAATTATTTTCAAAAATAATTTTATAAAATTAAGTTCCAAATAAATTTTATTATTTTCAAATTTTAAAAACCAAAAAAACAAGTTTTACAAAACCATATCAAACAAGAATTTAATTGAATGCATTGACAGTGTAAAGAAGTTTTACGGTGTCAGTGAATCATAGATGTTAAATTTTTGTAAATTTTTGACTTGTTTTCTTAATTATATATAAAGTATTATTTATAAACGGTTATGATATATTGTAAAATATTTTACAATAACAGTACATAACAATTATTCTCATCAAACAAAACCCTAATCTTTCATTCCCACGTTCAATATTCAATATGCTAAATTACGGTCTTTCTTTTCCATAATCAACTACTTAATTAACCTATCAAGTAAATATAACAGACAAGGTGAATATTTTAGATTTTAAAAACGAAGTTTAAAAACTCTTAAAAATAAAAAAAAAAAAATTTAAAAAAAACATAAAAGTTTATTAGTAAAACTTGAGGTGCAAGTAGCAAGTCCTTGCAAGAGCATAGGCCCGGCCCAGAAACTCCACATAACTTGCAAGAGCATATACCTCTACTTTTATCTCTATAACCCTACATTTTATATAAAATATCAATTTTATCCTTATATATTTTTAACTATTTTATTATTTTATTTTTAAATAATTTTTTAAATTTTATTTTGCGTACCGGAAGACTTTGCAAAAGAATTCCAGTATACAAAATAAAATTAAAATATGTTTTAAAAAATATTACTGAAACTCTTTTGTAAAATCTTTCAGTATACCAAAATTGACTATCAAAACTCTTTTGCAAAGTCTTCCGTTAAACAAAATAAAAGTTAAAAAATATTTTTAAAAATGACCACCAGAACTCTTTTGCAAAGTCTTCCGGTACATAAAAAAAAGTTTAAAAAATGACTATCAGAACTCTTTTGCAAAGTCTTCCGGTACAAAAAAAAAATTTTAAAAATGACTATCAGAACTCTTTTGCAAAGTCTTCTAGTAAACAAAATAAAAATTAAACAATATTTTAAAAAATGACTACCAGAACTATTTTGCAATTTTCTCCGGTACACAAAATTTGACTACTGAAACTCTTTTGCAAAGTCTTCCGGTACAAAAAAAGAAATTTAAAAATAACTATCGAAACTCTTTTGTAAAGTTTTTCGATACACAAAAATTAACTATCAGAACTGTTTGCAAAGTCTTTTAGTATAAAGAAAATTATAAAAAATAACTATTAAAACTCTTTTACAAAGTTTATATAAACAAAATAAAATTTAAAAAATAAAATAATAAATTAGCTAAAATTATATAAAGATAAAATGTAGAAGTATATGAATAAAAGCAAGGGTCCGAGATAAAAAATTTAATTAAAAACTAGCGTTCAAAATTCACTCGTGCTTCACCACCTCGCGGAACTCGCACACGGTGATGAAGAGTCTTGGCAACGTTGCCATCACGCTTTTCGTCTCTGTTTTCGTAACACCAAAACGGTAAGTCTTTAACCTAACTCCACAATTACACTGTCCTGATCCTAATATTGAGTTTCAATTTTCTTAGCTTATTGATCTCCTTGATTTTGATTATAGTCCACTATGTGTTTGTTGTATTATTATGCAATTGCAAAATATGCATTATGTGCCCACCATGTATTTGTTGTAATGCTTTCATTGGATGCTTGATAAGCTTGGTGATGCCTTTGTATGAACATCCTCTAGAAGGCTTTATGTTGCTAATGTTATTTTACTTTTCATCTCTTGAAACTTTCTCTTACACTCAGGCATTGAATTTCCTTGTTGTGCAGGCACCCAAGCCATCATCAGGACCACACAAATCAAGGGAATACCTCCCTTTGATCCTCATTCTGCAAAACAGACTAAAATATGCTCTCACATACAGAGAAGTAATTGCCATCTTAATGCAGCGCCATGTTTTAGTTGATGGCAAAGTTAGGACAGATTAAACATATCCTGCTGGTTTTATGGGTATGGGCATTAAACTGAAATTGCACATGCCATTTATTAACTTTTGATATCAATTTTTTATTTTGAATAATTGAACCATGAGAATGCTAGGAGGTTCTAAAATTTCATTAGAAATTATTTTGTTCTAATCTCATCGTTACCACTTTTAGATGTTGTGTCTATTCTGAAGACAAATGAAAATTTCCGTCTTCTCTATGACACAAAGGGTCGATTCCGTCTCCACTCAGTAAGGGATGATGAGGCCAAGGTCTGTCTAATCATTTATAATATATCTAATTTGTGTTCATATTAAGTAGAACAATGTCTTTTTGTTATCAACCTTGCTCCCCAACTTTTTTCAGTTTAAGCTTTGCAAGGTTCCTTCTGTTCAGTTTGGGCAGAAAGGGATACCTTATCTGAATACCTATGATGGGTGCAGCATCTGATATCCTGATCCTCTAATTAAGGCTAACGACACAATCAAACTAGACTTGGAACAAAACAAGATAACCGATTTCATCAAATTTGATGTGGGGAATGTTGTTATGGTGACTGGAGGGAGAAACAGAGATCCTGTTGGTGTCATTAAGAACAGGGAGAAGCACAAAGGAACTTTCGAGACTATTCATGTCCAGGATGCCACTGGTCATGAGTTTGCGACCCGATTGAGTAATGTCTTCACTATTGGCAAAGGGTCAAAACCTTGGGTGTCTCTACCCAAAGGCAAAGGTATCAAATTGACTGTCATTGAAGAGGATAGAAAGAGAGTTGCTTCTCAACAAGCGGCAGCTGCTTAAATTTTGATTATGAGACTGCCTTTTGGATAAGTTTGAGATTAGTTTTACTTTTTAATCTTGTTTTTCATTTGTATTACAATTTTGATATGATTATGGTGTTTTGTTTGCAATGCTATAATGAGTTTCAAATCCGTTGCCTCAAATCTGACTCTGTTTTTCCTACAACATAGGCAATAGCTTGGTTTCTTAGAATTTGACTTGACCACAGAATGAGTCTAAACAGAGGATTTTGATTTATTTGTCACACTTGGTGTATAACAACTCTCAAAGAAAAGACTAGGCCATAAATTGAGGAAAAGAAAAGACTACTACAATAATTTATTTGGTGAGTAATAACAACTCTCTATTTTTGTTATGAATTCTTGTAGTTTTAGAAAAAGATAAATACTAAATAATGGGATGGAAAAATTGAATCAATGAAATCTTGAAGTTTTTAGAATGTGCAATCAACTCCTTTAGTCTACAAGTTGTTTCATATAAGAAAGTTTTGATCCTGAGAGGAATAAGTTAATTCTAGGGGTGACGTAATGGGTTCGGACGTGGACTAAAATTTTAGATATGTATTTTTGCATATGCGAACATTTTGAAATTTTAGTTTTTAGGGATGCAATACCCGCCATGTCCCACCATCATTTTTTGGTGTGTTAAGGTTTTAACACCGCATCTTCAATTATATTCGTCTATTTCATATTTTTTTTTACTTTTGGACGGTGGGTATAAAAACATGAAGGCATGCATCTTTGCCTACTCTAGCTAATTCCATGACCAAGTCCAACTCCATGAACCTTAAAATCACCTCAATTTACAAAATGCTCAACACATACTCTAATAAAGCAATATCAAGTGTATAAAGTCCTCTTCCATCAAACCTCCAAATTCTCTCATCTGATTTATTCACTTTCATCAAATAAGCTATATCAAAATTTCATAAACATCACTATCTCTAATACTCATGTAATGTTAAACGTTAAAAATAACAACTAAATATAACAAATAAATAATAATGATGATTATAATACCCTAGCTTCTAAATTGCACCCACACCACATGAATGATATATGTATATAATCAGAAAGTGATTGAAACAGAATCCAAAGGCTACTTTCAACGTTAACAATCACTAATTACCAATCAAAACACTTTGGCCTTCAATATTAAAAGACTGACTTATAAATTTCTTTCATGCCATAATAAATCTTCAATTTAGTGCATTAAACTATAGCCAAGTGCAAATACAAACACAAAGCCACTCAAAGATAAACCAACCAACCGTTATACAAGGGCCCCACACCACACGTATTCTCATTATAGATGTTGTCAAATTGAGAATATTCTTAAGAAGAATAAGTGGAAAAATTCAAAATCCAAATAAATATCAGTAACACCACATATTTAAAAAGTGATATATGTTTTTTGTTTTCGGTCTCAGTTTTTTGTTTTCGGTCTCTTCGCACAACTACACTAATTCCTCGAGTTGGAAAGGACTACAATAGACAGAAAAATTCTATTAAGAGAATTTAACACTGCTGTGAATTTAGACTTGAATTCGAACTCAAAACCTCCAATTAAGTCGGAAGACATATCTTTCCAATTACCATCCTCCAAGTGTTAACATAGTGGTATATGTTTGAATAGGATATTATTCTATCAAATTTCTTGAATATCTATTTTGCAAAATGGGAGGACGAAAAAGTATACAAATGGGTTTTGTCTTCTTCTTTAATGCTTTCTGCAGTGGCAGTATTCTTTTTGTTGTTTTGCTAGAAACCATATATTACTTTTATGATTCATATATAAAAAGGAAGCAGCAAGAAAAAGAAAGGTATCTGCTCTGAAAAATGAGGAACTGGAAGGGTTGGAGGTGTTTCAAGAGTCTTACTATCTACCCTTTTAAGAGTATATTTAGTAAAGTGAATTCAAACTTTAGATTCAAATCTCAAGGTAAGTTAACAAGCTTTTCATATGAATTCATTGATGTAGATTAGCTTATGAAAATAAGCTCTTGACTAAACCTAAGGCCTAAATAGATTAACTTGTATATGTTTTTTTCTTGATCCTTTGTTTATATGTATTGTGTTGGCTAAATACAGGACACAGAAATGGACTTGTTAGTCTTTATAAAGACATGGAGTCTTGTGGAGAATATGCAGATATTCAAGTCATGTGGAAAATGATTGAATCTTCATCTCCTAAACATGCCTGCAACAAGAAAAGAACCAAATTTTTCTTCATGGACTAGTACAGGTTTAAAGAATGATTGATAAAGTGAAGAGAACAGGGGACTCAAATTTTGCATCATGTCAATTCCATTCCTTCATACTTTCTATCATGTCATTAATTTTGTTTCCATAGAAAGTGAAAGTGAATGATTTGAGTTCAAAGTTGAATCTCATGTAAAAATCAGTATCTGATAGTAATCAATACTTGAAGTGTTTTTTTTGAAAACAGTTTGTTCAAATTCTGCTACGCAACCGCTACTTGCCAATAGTTTATATATAAATAGCATATGTTAAAACAGAGTGAACATGAACATGATGGCCTCTTTTTATTGAACACAAATATTACAAAACGTGTTTAACAGATTTTACTCCACAAGGTTTGTAACCTTTTGCATGTGACACTAGAAATTACAATACTCTAAGTTCTGCAATCTCCGTACATAGTAGAAAAAACTAAGCTACAACAGAAAACAACTAAGCACAAACACTTCCCATAAAAGACCAACTATAGACAGATACATGAAAAGAATGTTATTCTATTCATGATCAAGCAGCATGTACCCCATGAAGAAGTCTTTGATCAAAGTGCCAAACACCTGCACAAAATTTAAGCTTAAGATTACCACAAACACTCATGAGCACCAGCGCACCAGAAACAACAGTTACACAGATACTAACACGTAGACAACAATTTAAGAGTGAGCACCAGAAATAACAGTTACACAGATCCTAACACGTAGACACAAGTAACAATTTAAGAGTGAATTTAACCATATGTGTTGGTGTCAGACACCGAGACGTGTTGCACACGACACATATTAGTAATAGTTTAAGAGTGAATATAATCATATGTATAGAGTGAATATAATTATATGTATTGGTGCCAGACAGTGAGACATGTTGCACACGACACATATTAGTAATAATTTAAGAGTGATTATAATCGTATGTGTTATTGTGTTGCACACGACACCCATTGAATTTGAAATGTCTAGAGCTACATTGATCACAATAATTTCTAGGAGTTATGTGTAAGGCAAAGTATGTGAACAAATATGAAAAATGGTGGTAGGTATATACATACCATGACCCTTTCCAACCCTTCTCAATTGAGCCACATACTCTGATATTTTCTTAATTGCTTCAACCTGAAGAAAGAAAATGATATGTTTTGACAAAGACATTAGTAATGAACGTTACCAAAGATATAGAGTCAACTTCCCCATACAAGTTGACTGCAACAATAATAGGTGAAAAAAATCTGTAAAAACCATACATTGTTAAAGCAACTTTTTCTCATTCTTCTAAATTTCAAAAGCTAAGATGAATTCCTAACACTAAGATATAAATGAATTTCACCTGTTCGGTCAAATATTCGCCTTCAATGAAGTGTGTCATCTCAATGTCATTGTTGCGTTCTGCCACCTATAATTCACAAATCTTCAAATTGTTTATCCTTTACAACAAAAAACAAACAATTTCTGAATTCTAAAAAAGCTTGCAAACACAAAACTAAAGGGGCAAAGAGGCATTACACTATGCACATTCAGAAGTTTCTCATTTGTTAACTTCTCCAAAGACAAAGCTAACTCCATTGCTGAAACAAACAATAGAGGAAAAAGAAAAAGCAAAAGTCAGCACAACTGATAATAATTGAAACACTGAATATGGCAAACCACAGTATACATATTTCTAACTATAATGTGACAAGTTGCAAACATAAAGGTGAAACCACGATGAAATCAGCAAACAAGCTAACCATGCAATGCATCTCCTTTTTCCACATGCTCAAATTCTGAGGGCACATCCTTGATGGGGTGAAGCACAACTCTTCCACCACGAGTGTTCTAATAAAAATGATCATATATATAGGCTATTTCAATAACAAAAGATAAAATCAAATCAAACTTTTTTCATATAAGCTATAAGTTGTTTTCATAATATATGCTATGCTGCATAGTCTATGCAAACAAGTTGAATACAACTTATATATAAGTGCTCTAAATTGTTTTCATAAATTCGTCCAAAGAGTTTCACAATTGCTTAACAACTTATATGTAAGTGACAGGTTGTCAAGATCGAGATCTTGCATTCAACCGGGAGGGGATAGTATGATCATAAAACATAAGATTGTAACTAAGATCAGATGATCCTATCAAATTATTTTGGTATGATCTAGAGAGGATAGCAATATAGTAAATCATAAGAAATATTTTGGTAGGCAAGTGTACTCGTGGAACTGTAATGGTAGTGGCCAAAAAACGGTGGATCGGGGCCGGAATTGGTCAAGATCGCACAAGATCAATGGTTTTACAATTTTTCTTTTTCACAATTTGGCTACAACTCATGATTCTACTTAAGATTTGAATCTCTGGGAGTGAGTGAAATCGCAGAATCCTAAAATTTTAGGATCTAAGATCCTGATTTTGACAACCTCGATTCTAAGTATTTTCATATACTTCTGCAAGTTAGATAAGTTCAAACATACAATACAAAGCTAATTTAACCTGATATTTCATAAGCTTTTCAGCATGTTCTCTCTCTTCTTCACTAGATTCCTTGAAGAACCTGATTTCAACAATAAACATCAACACAAAATTGAAAACCTGTTTGATAAATAAGTAATAAAACAAAAGTGTTAAAACATATTAGAGTATAAATATTTGATACTTTGCAAATCCCTTGAGAGCCACGTTGTCCCTATCAAAGTATGCAAACATGGAGTGATACACATAGGAAACATTGTACTCCACACTGTCACACAACAATTGCAAAGAAAAAAAAATCACTTAGCATAGAAACAATAGGAATATGATCCAATTAATGCATGCTAAAGAAAAAATGATAGAAACTAGCACAGACACCAGAAACACCACGCTGACATGATGACACCGGTATAATTAAAAATGCTTACTTAATTTGCTCATTAATAACATATTCACATTCATCAGCAAAATTCTGACGAGCCAAAGAAACAAGAGGAACAGAAGGAACAGTAAGATAATCCTTCTTAACCTCTTCAAACGGTTCAAATATAACCCCAGTCAAAGGAGCAGTTGTAGCACAAACCCTAAATTTTCCACTTCCCCATTTTTCACCAACTCTCAGATTACAAAAACATGGCTTTTGAACACCATTTCCAGAAACAGGTGAGAGAGAAAATCCAGAAACGGATGAAACTTTTGAAGAAAGAGCCATGAGGGAAGAGAAATGATTTGTTTGTGGATCAATCTGGAGAGGGAAAAAAGGAGTAAATAATGGTGATTAGGGGTGTTTTGGGGATTTCGAATGGTGGAGATTCTGTGTGAGCCGTTGGATTTGGAACACGTGGACGGATAGGATTGTTTGGTGAAAGGGGCGTGTGGCGAGCTCGTGGTTAATGTTCCACGCTGGAAGTTTGGTATTATTTGATGAAATTAGGACAAATGTCTCACACGTGTCTATCAATTATAATGTGTTGGTATTCTGAACTTTACACATGCAATGCAAATTAAAGTTTCAATAATTTACTCAAATATATTATATTGGTGTCCTTTTCTTATTATTGTCTAACTACCCAAATATAAAAATCTTTGAGAAATTATTTTTAATTTGTTTCGGATAAACTTTACTCTATTCATTTCATTATAATTGAAATATTTAAACATTTTATAAAAGTTCAAAATATGTGAATTTTTCCTATTCTCGATGTTAACTACATTTAAATTGTGATTGTTGTGAATTGATATTGTTAATAACAAATTAAAATATAAAAAAAATTGAATTTTTTGAACAAACACGAAAAATTTTATTAGGTTCTACGAAAGATAGAGAAGAAGAAAAAAGAAAAATAAGAATTGATTAAAATTGTTTTACTATTTACTTTTTCAATAAATGTTTAAGATTACAAGTGAATACCAATAATTAATCTCTCTCAACAACCTGAGAGAATTAGTCTATTTATAGACTACTAAATTAACTTAACAATTGGGCTTACAACCAATGCATAATTCGACATGTTAACTTAAACACAAAGCTAACATATTTTGACAATATATTTAAACAGACTTTGACTATAACATGCACAACTCTTGTCAAACCATGAAACTACTCTTGTCGACACTAGAGTTCGATCCAAATAACACAAATCTCTACCTTGGAATAAACTAGCTTTCATCATGCAGTTTTATCAACTGCATACAGTGGAAAAACTTGTTACTTGTCAATGTCTTGGTGACCATATCAGCAGTATTGTCATCAGTCGAAACCTTCAGCACTTGGACTTCTCCATCTCGATTATCTCTCTGACGAAGTGCAGCCTCACATTGATGTGCTTAGTTCGCTCATGATATGCTAAATTCTTTGACAGATGTATTGCACTTTGATTATCACATTTAACTGTGATAACTCGACCTTGAAGTTTTAGTTTCTTAGCAAAACCTTCAAGCCACAATGTTTCTTTCACACCTTTAGTGAGGGCGATATACTCTGATTCAGTGGTTGATAAGGAAACAAATTTTTGAAGTGTTGTTTTTCAACTAATTGATGTGTCAAACATAGTGAACACATATGTAGAAATATATTTTTTAGAATCCAAACAACCTGCATAATTAGAGTCGAAAAATTCTTTGATTTTGACTTTGGTGTCATCACCATAGGCTTCACCATAAATTAGGATTTTGCTCAGAGATCCATTAATGTACCTAAGAAACCACTTTAATGCTTGACAGTGCGTCTTCCTAAGATTGGTCATATACCTGCTTACAAGGCTCACTCCGTATGTTATGTACGGTCTCGTGTAGACCATAACATACATCAAATAACCTATTATACTAGAATATGGAATGCTATTTATATAGGCTCTTTCAACTTCAATACTAGGACTTTGAGTCATACTCAACTTGTACTGAGGATTAGTCGGTGTTAGAAATACTTTGAACTCAACATACCAAACTTGTCAAGAATCTTCTTCAGGTGTGTCTCTTGAGATAAGCATAATCTCGACTACTTTCTATCTCTCCGGATGTCAATCCTAAGAATTCTGGAGGCAACTCCCAAATTCTTCATGTCGAACTCCTTATCAATTTCGGCTTTCACCATAACATCTTCAACACTATTGCTTGATATGAGGATGTCATCCACATAAAGCAATAACATAACAAGTGATTTTTCAGGTCAAAATCTGAAGTAAACATTGTGGTCAAACTGGATCCTAGTGAAACCAATGTGTGTCATGAACTTGTTGAATCTTCTATTCCATTGTCAAGGAGATTGTTTCAAGCCATACAAGGATCTATTCAGCTTGCACACATAATCTTCCTTTCTCTTTTCTGCATACCCTTCAGGTTTCCTCATCAATGTTTCATTTAGATCACCATACAGGAAGGTTGTCTTCACATCCATCTATTAAATTTCTAGATCGAAACTTACCACCATGGCTAACAATATTCTAATGGATATGTGATTTACAACAGGTGAGAACACATCATTGAAGTTGAAATTCTGACAACCACAGAGTGGATGTTATCACGGATGTTATGACACCCACTGTAACACAGACTACTGGACTTAATAATAAGCAGTAAATAACACAAGTAATTGTTCACCCAGTTCAGTGTCAACCACACCTACATCTGGGGGCTATCAAGCCAGGGAGGAAATTCACTATTGGTAGAATTAATTCAGAGTCAAACAACCTGTTTGCATTCTTCACTTAAGACCTACCCAATGACACTTCAGCCTAATACTAGACCAGAGTTTCCCACTCACTCCCCCTCAATCACCTTAGTGATATCAATACACAATTACAATTGGAGAATGAAGACACACTTCAAACCCACCTTGATCTTGCTTCACAGCTTTGATCAAGAGATACAACACTCTTGCTTAAAAGCTTTGAGTGGCACAATGAGCACAACAATTCACTAACACTAAACCAGAGGAATCATACAACAGACAATTGCTTGGCCTACAAGGAATCCTAAGACTCCTAAACACACGTGAAGAACAAAGTTCTTCACTCACAAATTACACTCTCCAATCTCTCTCCAGAAGCTCTACTCTATTTGGAATGATCCTTCTGTTATTTATAGCAGCAGACTTGCTTTGGGCCTTGATGGAGAGATTAGGTTTACCCAAGATAAACCTCTCTTTATGAAGTTGCGCACATCCAATTGAGTCAGGGGCATTCCAGTTTATCCTTACCAGTGCCTGTTATGTCGCCTAAGATAACTAGGTTACCTAGAATGTTTCCTGAAGTATAGGCTGAGCTAATAACAGAAAAACTAAAACATGCGCGCCCTGATGTCATACGCTCGATGTCATAACATTCAGTCATGACATTCAACTTCACTTACTCTTAGCTCTCCCTGCAGAACACTCTTCATGTATGTCATAACATCAGTTATGACATTCATACATACTCCAATGTTTTTCCACAAAATGCAGCCAATCAAAAGCATCTACAAACTCCCCCTTTGGCAAATTTTTGGCTAAAACACCCTGTTACCATATCAGAGATTACAAGCAGCAGAAATCATACCATATAACCTATCATGCAAGAAGGCTACTAACACACTATCAGAGTTGTCTACACTCACACAGTTAGCTCTCAGCTACTCAGGATCAACCTGTTCACGCATAATCATCTGTTAGTCAACACTACAGAAGTCACAATGTTTTGAGTAACATTTTGAGTTACTCCCCTTCCACTGATGCATACCACATCAGTTGTACACAATCTGCAGCCAACCTGCAATCACACACAAATTATCTGGATGTCAAGACATTCAGGATGACATCCTGAAGAACACAATCACCTGTGACTTCCTGTGCTACTCCCCCTGAAAAAGATACACAGCCACACACACATTCTGCAAACACCCTGCAGATATACACAACTAGCAGCTATCCTACTACTAGGTTCCATCAAGGAACACACACACCTACATACATTCCTACACTCATTAGGAACTCACACAGTAGCAACAACATATCATCACCTCATGCAAACCTGCCCAGAAGTCTTCAAGTCTTCCACCTGCTGTTACTACTTAACACTTCTCCCCCTTTTTAGCCACAAATTAAGATCAAAACTAATTAAATAGTGCAGATCAAAATGAGTAACATTACAGAAGTTAGGGGTCATTACAAAAAAAACTGCTCATGAAGAGCATCACAAATTTCAGCTGTCAAATAAGGATTAAAATCTTAAGTAAGGAAACAAAACAAAAAGTCACTAGTCACACCAGCACCAGCAGCACACCTTCATCAGCCCAAGCAACCACCAGCCTGAGCCCCACAACAGTCCATCACTACACTAGTCTTCCTCAGCAGAACTGGAACTAGCTTCTTCAGCATCCCCATCATTGGTTTCCTCAGAACTGTCACTAGCCTTTTCAGCATCTTCATCACTGGCTTCCTCAGACATGTCATCAGCTTCTTCTGATGCAGCAACCTGGTCACCATCCTCTCTTGAACCATCATCCTTTTTCTCTTAATCAGAGTCAGTGAATTTAGGATCCTCGTCCTGCTCAAGAGACTTAATTAAATTTTCAAGATTTTTCTTCCTTGTGTCCAACTCATTGCAAGTTTCTTTGAGCATTGCAATCACCTCAGCTTTTCTTGTCTTGGCACTCCTCTTGGATGTTTCAGCTGATGTCATGACAATGTCAGGAACATGTGTCCCTTGAAACAGCTTGTGATGAAAGGACAAAGGGCTTTCTCTCTTGGATGTTGTGTCACTCTCTTTGAGAGTATTAGGATATTGATGCAAGATTATTCCACTGATGAGGGAAGGAAATCCAATGGGGCCTTTGACACTATAGCTTCCAGCATGCTTCATGGTCTGATCAAAAATGTAGATTCCATAATTAACTTTGGCTTTGGTCCCTACAGCATAGATAAATTTCCCCAGGACAGTTGCCACGGTTGACTTATGATTTGTGGGCACCCAATTGGCAGCTCCAATCATGTGTAGCATCACATATTTTACACTCAGCTTGCTGGAAACTAACTTTCCTTTTGATTGCCAGCTCTTAACCTGGTTGGTTGTTATCACTTGACACGCCTTGTTATCAGACACAACTATATCAGGGTGAGCTCCACCTGATCTTCCCAAATATTTGTTGATGGTTGCTGGAGAAAAACTGGCATATTTCCCTCTCACATAAACTTTGCCAAATTCATCAGCTTTTCTATCTGCACATGCTCCTGATAGG